CCGAAAAGCAAAAATCGAGCACATCACCTTTTTTCCACTTCCTGATGACAAATCATGATGAAACTAAGGTCGCTTATGGCGAGGATTTCCTACGGAGGCTTTTAGGATTACTTCTTAATGAGTTTTAAGAACCTGCTGCTGTCTCTCTGTACGCTATTGACATAACTCATTTGCACACGGACAAAGCGTGAGGGTGTGGGTGCCTGTGCCATTCGGCTACTTCATATCTCCAATTGTGTTCTTTTCCTCTGTGCGCACACCCTTATATAGCGGTCACGCTTAAGAGCACAGAGATATAGACAATGTTAGAGGTCACATAAAAGTAGAAGAGAACATACAAGCAGTGAAGCGTAACGGTCAATAATCGTTACAGCACAGTATCTCACAAAGAGAAGCAGTGGACCGTGACAGACAGAGGCAGAGAAGCGGTGATAGACCATCAAGTTACTCCTTTCTCTTTTCTCTAATTGTTTGAATGGCAGAGAAGGCGACCTGTTTGGTCAATAATGACGAATGTGGTGGGGACAAGAGAGATCTTCTCTTGTGCCTGTTCGATCAAAACAACAAGAACTCAAACAAATCACGATTTCCGAAGGCCCGCACGGAGGCCGAAGCTATTCTCTATCGAGCCCATATTGCTGATGAATTAAATGTTGATCTGAAGAAAACATTCATCTGCAGTGGTCATTTCAACCGATTGTTCGCACAGTTCAATCCGAAGAGACATAAACAATGTTATACGTATCCCTCGATTTCTGGACAAACTCCGGCAAGTACGAAGCAGTTGTAGAAAATCACTCGTAAACAAGCACTCTCCATCCACGATAGCTTTAACATCAAACACTCGTACGGAGAATTCATGTGTGGTACCTGTCGTAAAGGTTACTATGATTTTTTACACGATTATTGTATGAAGGAAATATCTACAGTAATCGATCAGCGACGTGCAAATCGGCAGCGCGCTACTACTACTACTACTAACGTGCAAACAGCCAATGAAGATGATGACAATAAGGAAGAGCCATCAAGTGATGAGGACTCGAATGCAGATGCAGATACAGATACCGACGAAGACTTCGTGCTTAGTGACGATAAAGAGTCGACGAAACTGCTTCGAGAAGCTCTCAGTCATCTATTGGACTTACGTGGCAACAAGAATCGAACGTGGGTGACCCATAACTATCGAGAGCTGACCGAACAAACTCGTCTCAGCTATTTATCTCGAGCTCGTTCAATCGTCAAGAGCGTGATCCGCGAACGATGTTGATCAATTGGAACATGACTTATTTGAGCATCACGGTGATAAGCACGTGGTCAAACTCGATGGTAATTTTCTTTCGGTTATGGAAGGTGTGTCCGAGGCCTACAAGAACACTGAATC